CTCAGGCATTGGAACAGGCGGCCTAGGGCAGTGGAGGAATCACCGTTCCTGCAAGTGTTCAAAACCATGCAGATGAGGCCCTCAGTGATATGGTTTAGTGGCTGATCTTGACAGTCCTGGGGTAGAGATTGGACTTGATGATTTTAAAGGTCTTTTCCAACCTAGTGGATTCTATGATTTCCCTTAAACCCCATTGCTTTCAGACCCCGTCGGCCTGTGCAATCACCCCAGCAAGCCTCCCTCGCACTGGAGGGTGGCTTTCCCCACGGGGCTGCTGGGGCCACTGCCTCACTCCTCTGCTTTGCAGCCCCCATGCAGGAGCATCCATGAGATCCCCAGGCTCATCAGGGGGCTTCGGGGCTATACTGCAGGTGGTCCCCTCCCATCAAAGGGCTGCTACGTGTCAGTGGGTAAAAAACAAAGAAAGAAAATTTATTGTGCAATCTGCATCTTTTGTCTCAAACTACACAGACACTCTACACAAATTAAATAGAGGGACTGGACCAGCAGTGAGCTTCCCTTGTGATTGGCAGGGTTGGAAGATGCTGGTTCCTCAAAGAAGAGCTACAAGCCCTTGTTTCCATCTACATACACAATGCAGTGTAGACTTAGGCAGCATACACATGTACATACTCATGTAGATTTCTGTTTGTGGGGTGGAATCAGCCACAGACAGCATAATTGCATTATACACAGGGTATGTTATACCTTAGCACCAACTGCAGACTGGCCACAGGCTCTGTGCATCTCTGGTGTCTCCTTCATCTCCAGCAGGGCCTTCCCAAGGGACGAGAGCAGCAGAGCCCCAGTGCCACCACAGCACCCACCATGCCAACGGGCAAGAAGGCATGATGGCTGCTCCCAAGGCAAAGGGATCCATGCTCATGGCCTCCTTCCTTCAGGAAGACCACAGAGTGGCTTTGGGTGGTGGAAGACATTTCTTCAGCACAACCATCCTGCATGGCCCTGGAGAAGCTGCAAGCAGAGGTGCCCCATCCGTGAGCCCCTAGTCTCCTCTAGCTCACATGTGGTCTTGGGAGCTTTTCTTTTCAAAATTATCTTTGTGGTGAGGATGCACATAAAAGCTCTAAGCAAAAACTGTCATCTCACAGTTGCTTCCTTGCAGCACCTCACAGGTCCACAGGCTGGCTAACCTCCCCTGTAATTCATGGGGAAACAATCACAGAGGAGTATCAGAGGACTTCCTGTGTCCCAGTTTCACAAAGACATCACCATCCCAAGAAATAAAGAACGGTGGCTCTGGCCCACACGGAGTGGGGCTGCCTGCCTAGGCAGATCAATCCCTTCCATGGTGGCTGGGGTGAGACCAGGAAACAAGTGGGAGCTAGAGAGGGTTTCACAGGGAGCTCAGCTCTCAGCCAGAGCCTAGTGGCCAGCAGCCGTGTGCCTCAGGCGACCAGCCCTGCTCCCCACCAAAGCCCATGCTGTAAGTGGGTGCCCCAAGACTGGGGCTCAGGTGCAGAGAGATGGCACTGGGCAGAATAATGCTGCAGGGTTGGCAGCTGGAGAAGGTGCCATCCTGGCTCGCTGGCACTAGACTCTAGAGGTGGGTAAGACCCCTAGCACCCTGGGACAGGGTATCTCAACAAGCACATGGCATAAGCTGGGAAATCCTCCTGACCAGGGCAGCCAGCACAGTGTGGGTCGCTGGCCCTGGCAGGGTGGGCAGGGTTGGGGGCAGACTTGTGCTTGTGCACCCATGCATGAGCATCCAGGCTGCTGAGTGACCCCAAACCTTGGTCCCTAGCCCAGCATGGCTCCTGGCTGCAGACAGGATGGAAGCACTGTGGCTGGATGGGAACTTTGCACTGACCAGGGCAAATAAGGCCAGGATGGGGCTGCAGAAGCCATGGCAGGACAGGCTGTGCCCCTCCTGGGAATATGGGGAGGAGTGGGGTGTCCTGGCTTCCCATGCTGGGGCAGCAGGGGCTCCTGACACCCTGGGGATGCCCCCTCTCCAAAATAATGATCCCAAACACACATGGGGTCAGCATGTGGCAGCAAGAGACGTGCTTGGGAGAGCCAGCCCCCACAGTGCCCCTGCTGTGGCTCCCCCACTGCTACTCAAACGACAGTAAGTCAGGATGGGGCCCCTCTACCTCCCAGCCAGGGGGACATGCCTCCAACCCCCC